ACCCATAGTGAAATCCAATGTCCTATATAGGAGCACATCATCATACCTACCTTTATATTCCACCAAGGGTCCCACTGTTCTACTAAGTTAAGCAGCCTGCCATCTTTAGCCATCTCCTCAAATTCTTGTTTTTCCCACTGAGTGAGTTTTTCCCAAATTTTTTCAGTGTCTTGGTCTAGAATAAGATATAACACATGAGACAAATTATTCAATAATTTGGTAGTTGGATCATATATAGTTCTTATTGAACACAAGCTGAACATAATTTCATGGATAGCTTATTGGCAAGCTAGACATAAAGTTTCAACATAAAGGCCTATGTCCATGTTGGCTGCAAGCTCAATTTAAAATTATTGTCTCCCCCCCTCCCCCCATGGGTGTCCTAGTGGATTATAAGTTGGTTACGGTGTACATTTCTAAATAAATGAGTACCAAGTGAAATAGTGTATAGCCTCAATTATGAAACTATTGTGTATTGGACACAGTGAGTGACTTGTTGTAACTACAAGTTAACTCTTTAAGTATTAGGTATCAAGTCATTCTGCTTACCCAAGTCCAAACCTTGGATTCTATCTGCTTACCTAAGTCCAAACCTTGGATTCTATCTGCTTACCTAAGTCCAAACCTTGGATTCTATCTGCTTACCTAAGTCCAAACCTTGGATTCTATTTGCTTACCTAAGTCCAAACCTTGGATTCTATTTGCTTACCTAAGTCCAAACCTTGGATTGTATCTGCTTACCTAAGTCCAAACCTTGGATTCTATCTGCTAGACTTGGAAACTCTTCTGCTTCATCTTCATTGTCTTCACTCTCTGCAAATATAAACTCAATTGTACAGAATCATGTTTGGCAAATGTGGCATTTACAGAACCATACCTACATGGGACATCTGTTACTTGTGTAAAAAAAAATCAGCAAATCTTAAATTAAGTGTACAAACATCTTCAGACAATGGGTCGCCAACCCTACCTGAGCCATATCCCAGCTAAGTTATTGCTTACCTAAGGTTACCTGTAAATGTTTCCCTATCACACTATTTCAACACACAGGTGAATCATAGCCAAGCTATATACATTCATCATAATGTCTGCACCGAGTTCTTACCATGATCCTCCCCGTCTCCCAGCTGATCTGTGTTTAACCTCTGTGTATGTACCGAATTCTTGCCATGATCCTCCCTGTCTGCCAGCTGATCTGTATTTAACCTTTGTAGCATGTCCCGAACCTTCAGTTTATCTTCTTTGCTGTTTAAAAAAAAAATTCTTGAAAAGAAATTAACATACTGATGGACCATGTAGGTTACTTTTTAATAGAAAAAAAGACTGAGACTATTCCAAAATGAACCACATGTTCTGTGTAATCTGTTGCTGTGTTTGATGTCATCTAAGTTTCAATATGGATCATTTACTAGGTGTTCTAAAGCTCTAGTTAGGTTGTACCTTGAGCCATAATCTTTGAGACCTTCCATGACCCAGTCCCTGTAGAAGCTCTCACTGCAGTTTTCATGGTGTGGGCTCCTGTAGCAAGTCACACTGCAGTATTGGAGGTGACAGCGAGGACATGTGTACTTAGAAACAGTCTTCAAACACCTGAAATATATCAAAGATCACTCAATAAATATAATTTGGACCATAATTTCAGTAACTCAATTCGTCAATGCCCCCCTCCCCCCAACTGTTTTTTAAGAGTACATACCATTTTTTAATATTTTCAATGTGTAGACACTAACTGTACAAGAGAAAAGCATGCTTGTGACTTTCTCCCTTTTTTCCCTAAATAAAAATGTGAAGGGACTGCCAGATCATAGATATACACATACATAAGACATGATGTAAGTTATATCAGAAGAACAAAACTCTAGCGGAAAACAACTTAAATGTTAACTGTACCAGGTGAAGTGAATTTCACTGCTCTTATTAGTCTTAAGTTCCGAAATGCAGTACATGTATGGGCATTCAATTGGACAAAACACTCCACCCTGTACTCGCCTATTTTATCCTTATGCTTATTAAAAAATCGAAGATTCCTCAGACCAGTTTTACACTGTCTGTGCTAACGCTGCTGTTTATGCATAAAACTTGAAATCAAACTTCAAAGGCCTAAAAATTGGATAATGGCAACCAGTTTGCACGTCCTCCATGATACGGGTGCTCTCAAATCTTTATCCTACCTCTCATCTCCTCAACTCGCAAACTCATGTAAAGCCAACCAATATGCCCGTCCAGCGGGCCATGAGTAGGGTAAAGTAAGCTTCATCTGTCTTTCATGGTAGACCCCCCCCCCCAAAAAAAAAAAAAAAAAAAAAAAACTCCACCGCCCAACACCAAGACCGTCCTCGCATTAATATCACACCTTTTTCATATATTCTATATATTTTACGTACGACATCCATACATCTAAGTTTTCTAGAAAAATACGTATCACTGACGTTAGCGTTTACTCACACACGACAAATTGCCTCCGTTTTCGAAATGATTTCATCGTCCTCCATCCTGTGTTGCAGATGTATAGATGGCGATACAGTCGTTTCCGAAATGAGGCAAAAGCAAAGACAATTTTGATTGGGCATTTTTAGTACACAATTTTTATACTATCGTTTGCAAAATTATGAAATCACAACACATTACTTGATTATATTCGATAGTGTTATTTTTATGCATGTCGTCTATCATATTCGAGATCATATTACTTTACATTCATTTGTCACCTTTATTTTCTGCGGCACTGCTAGAGTTACGAGTTGTTTTGGTATGGCGAAGATTTGACCAAAGAAGGAGCGAGTAGTCGAAAAAATTCCGTCCATTTGTACGTATGGCAAAGTTTTGTGATAGTTTATGATATATTTTGCTTAGGATGTTTACAGTAGAATTGAAAAATAGTAATTTGATTGAGAGTGTTGTGTGAAAATAGCCACAAACCTTGCTGTCAACGCGTTGTCATACAACGCTTACGACATGTGCGTGATATGGTGTGACATGTTAAAAACGTAAAGATATACTTTTGACCAAACTTTACAATTAAATTTGCAGTAGAACTGAGTAATCTTCTACGCGTAACTAAATTGTCCTCTGTTATCTGCACTCTCTATTAAACAGACGCTCGTTGTCAATTTTTTTGTACCTGGAAATAACTGACAGTCGTCAAGGAGTGTAAACAGTAGCAAGAAGTCTCCCTTGGATGACTAGATGAACAGTTTTTGTGATATTTGATTAATGGTGATGAGCGTAAATGTTCACCAGCATTGTTAAATACTGAAACATGCAAATATTATCGTCTTTTATTTATTTTTTGGATGGTTTCAAAAGCAATTATGCCTATAGATGGCTTTCATTACTCATTTTAAGTGCTTATACTTTGTTATAGTTACTGTACATTTTAGTGTACATGTATTTTACAGATATAATTTTCTCACAAATTTATTCATTTTGCCAGTATTAGTTTACAAAATGTTGATATGATCCGAGGCCTTTTACTAGAAGGCTTATTTGTCAAAATAAAATAGCCACAGCCTTGCATGGTTATTAGTAACCATGTTTGGTAGAAATATTTTTGGATAAGACTGTTTCAGTTGTTAATGTTAGACATTTGTTAACAAGAAATATGATTAGTTTATATTTATTTTTCAGATCCATTATCCATTATCTCTGTTAAACTTCCGTAGAAAATTTGCTCAAAACAAACAAGATGGCTGTCCCCTTTTCCAACACCAAGCTGCGTGTTCCTCGTGGGTTCCAGAATCTATTGGAAGGCCTTGCACGAGAGGTTCTGCGTAACCAACCAGAAGACATCCACTTATTTGGCGCCAAATATTTTGAAGAGTTGATGAAGATACGGGAAGGTATGTTGATTGATTTTGACATTGTACAGATTGTTTGTTATACAGTGTTTATAGTTATCTAAATACAGACACAGGAAATCCTTTGACTTCCCATTTTTCATTTACAAAACTTGTCATAATCAGTTAAGTGAAAAAAGATAAATTTGTATATTTATTTGTCTCTTGCTTTTGTTCCATGTTGATTTTCAAGGAGATGGGGTGGTTTATATGTGTGTGTGTGTATGTGTGTGTGTGTGTGTGTGTGTGTGTGTGTGTGTGTGTGTGAGTAATATATCTGATTGTGATGGGAAGATTCTGTGGTATTGATATAAGCCACTATGAGCGCATTCTCAACGAATTAAGCCAGGCTTTACAAAGCCGGTGACCTAAAAATGGCGGACGTACATGAAAGAAAAACCGCCTAATCTTTTAATAGTCTCTCCGCCTCTCACATGCCTCCCCACACGTCGTCCCTG